GTTCCTAGATCGTCTGCGTAACGCACATTCCAAAAGCGTATACGTTATGGAGTCGATCGACGTCACCGCCCTTCACACTAACGTGTCGAACGACTCCACAATGCAAGCCATCCGCAGGCTTCTTGAACAACACGAAGGAGCACTTAACATGTATGGCTTTTCGATTCATCAGCTTACGGTGCTCTCAAAGGTCTGTTTAAACTGTTCGATTTTCAGATGGTCCGGGAAATATTACGCACAAATTAGAGGGTTGGCAACGAGACAGCGACTGGCACCAACCCTTGCCGTTGCCTTTATGTCTAAAGTGGAAGCCCGGTAATCGATCTCAGGCCGTTACTTTACTTAGGCATACAGATGATTGTTTTGTCATCTGCTCCACACAAGAGGAGATGGACAAATGCTTTGAGTTATTGAACTAACAGTCAGAGTACATAAAATTCACCAGTGAGAAACCGAAAGAAAACTGGCTTCCATTTCTAAACGTTCAAATTAACCTATGCGAAGACGGAAATGGTATCGAAAGCCAAGCAGTAAGAATATAGTGGTTCATTGCCTCTCCTCTCACCCCTCGCACACTAAAAGGGCGCTTATAGGAAATATGTTTCGAACTGCCGCCAGCTTGTGCACACTTAGAGAGCAGGGGGAAGAATCCTCGAAACCAGCCCGCCAAATAGCCATTTAAAACGGTTACAAAACTGTAGCTTCTCTGCATAGGCATAGAGGAAAAACCACACCCAGAGCTATAATTCTAGCGAAAACGAGATTACGTTCCTTTTGCCCTTTCTTTCAAACGAAATAAGTGCAGCCATAAAACGTTGCTTAATAAGGGCCGGTCTAGAGAATTCTGTAAGAGTGGTAGAAATACCATCGGACACTCTACGACGCCAGCTAGTTCGCAACCGCCTATATGACTGTCTATGTATAACGAAAAACTGCATAATTTGCCCTAACGGTTGAGACGGAGATTGCATGAGTTGGGGTATAGTGTATCTAATCTGTTGTAAAACGTGCGGGGACGAATACGTTGGCGAAACGGGTAGACCGCTCGTCTGCATATAAGAAAACCTAGTCGGTAAATCTAAATTGAAACCAAACAGCCCACTAGGCGCGCATGGGATAACAACAGAGAAGATTTTGAAGTTGGCGTCACTACCCTCACGCAGGAATCGAAAACATCAGCGCGTAAACCCCTGAAGCGTTTTGGATTAAATCAATTCCGTTCGTATAGAGGGAAGTGACGTCGAAGGACTCCACCACGTACGAATTATTAGAATTCGGACCGAGTTTCTCACCATCTGAGTCTATTTCTAAGGTAACATTGCGTAGGGTCGCATGTACTTTACATGAACTTCAAAATAGACTCCGCAAAAAAGTCAGGGATGAAGCGCAAAATAGGCGCGAACAAAAAAGGAGGGGCAATACCATTACCACCATTTCCTCAACCGTTCTTTAGACAGCAAGAGCCCAATAATGAAGTTTACGTTAAATTTTGGATGTTTACGAATGAAACTTTCAAGGTCCTCAATCACTATAGCGCTAAAAGATACTGCTCCAATCTCACTGAAATACAAAAACGTGGTATGCAGGAGGTACGAGAGCTGATAAGATCAAAAAACATAAGACTATCGGTTAGTGATAAGAGTGGAGAGTTCGTTGTAATTCCCCATCAGTTAGATGTTGAGATAACGGAAAAGCACCTTAAAGATGCTTCCCTTTATCGTCCGTCGTCTGAGAAGGAATTTAAAAGTCAATACCGAAAGTTAAACAACGAATGGGTTAAAGTGGCAAGAGCGGCTGGGTTAAAACCATCAGTTATCTCTCATCTCAAAATTGACTTACCAACATGTCCTGTCCTGTACTTACTTATCAAAACCCACAAGTAAGTATCCAGCGATGATCTCGTGTCTACCGATCCATCGCTATTTAAGGTTAGACCTATCATCAGCTGCGTGGACGGGCCAACGGATAGAATAACGTGGTTTATAACCCTAATACTTACTCAGTTGTTGAAGTGCATTCCAGCTCATCTAACGAACAACCAAATGTTCCTGGGTCGTCTACGTAACGCGTGACCCAACAGCGCATACGTGGTGGAGCCCTTCGACGTCACTGCCCTCTATACGAACGCGTCGAATGACTCCGCTATGCAAGCCATAAGCGAGCTCTTTGTACACACGAAGGAGCAATAAACATGTACGGCTTCTCGATTTAGCAGTTGATGACACTCTTAAAGGAGTGCCTGAACTGCTCAATCTTCAGATGGTCCGGGAGGTATTACCCACAAATGAGAGGGCTGGCAAAGGGACAACGACTGGCACCAAGCCCTGCCATTGCATTCATGTCTAAAGTGGAAGCGCCAGTAATCGACCTCGGTTCGTTACCCTACTGTAGATATATAGATGATTGCTTGGTCATTTGTTCAGCACAGGAAGAAATGGACAGATGTTTCGAGTTATTGAACGAACAGTCAGAGTATATTAAATTCACCCGAGAGAAACAAAAAGAAAACTGGCTTCCATTTCTGAACGTGCAAATTAACCTATCAGAAAACGGCTACGTTACGAAATGGTATCGAAAGCCAAGTAGTAAAAACACCTTGGTTCATTACCTCTCCTCTCGTCCCTCTCACACGAAAAGGGCGCTTATGAGAAACATGTTTCTTACAGCTGCCAGCGTGTGCACAGGAGGACAGCAGAGAGAGGAGTCCCGGAACTTGGCGCGGCAAATAGCCATTTTTAATGACTACGAAACTGTAGCTCGAGATAGGTGTAGAGGAAACCATAGGTACCTCAACGATAACTCTAGCGACAGTAAGGTCCCGTTTATACTGCCCTGTAACGAAATGGTTAGCGGCGAAGTGTAGCGGTTCAGATTGATGTAGAATATTAGCCACGCAGGTCTTTGAGTCGTTGTAGTTGATCTACCAGCCTCAAACTTGGGTAATTAAACCTTTAATACATAAATATAACGCTAATAACATGATAGTAACGATAGAGAAACAATGGTAGAGGAATGACACAAGTTAGAGCTCTGAGGTGCTAAGGCCTGTAGTGAAGTCAGACTAACAATGAGGCAATGGAATTCAAACATTATTATACCATTAATACAATATTAACAATAATACTGAGATTACAACGAAGTAGCCTTTGCTTAGCCGTAAGCGATGCTGCGCCGCGTCTATTCGGGGCCGGCATGAGGGAGACAGTATGCTGGGGGCGGAGGGAGGAGACTGTATGCCGCGGAGATGGAGACAGTATGCTGAGGTGGTGAGGGTTACAGACTGGCCGTGTTTCGGCCAAGCTAAGATTTCAACATTATAGCGATGAGGAGCATTTCAGTGGATCGATGAGGACTGTAAGTTACATGAGCGTTGACGGTGCTATGGACAGTGAATGATGAGTCATCTACGGAACACGTCAGGCGGCTGGTCGTGAATAGCGCTATGTCAGCAACGTGAACTTTTGAGCATCGATGGGTGCCACCATTGCCTAAGGGTAAGGGCAAGTATGATAAATGGCTACAAAACTGATAGGCCTATAGCGGCTTAGCAGAATACATAGCATAAGTTGGCCGCTTAACGGCATTGTACACATTGCGTGTACATTGTGGGTGGAATGGTACATTCCACCGATGGCGTTGCAAACAGAACGCATTTGGAAACACCCGCCACTACTGGCATCGCACCGTAGACAAGGTGAGGAACGAGATACAATAATCTGCTGATTATTGAAGGATGAATGTGAATGTGTGAATGAATGTGATTGAATAAGAATGAATGACTTTGACTAATAATGAGTTGAGGTGATTGATGTTGTGGTTGTGAGGAGCGGATTATCCGCGCTACCGATCGGGGGTAAGGTGAGTGATGGCATGTCTCCGCCGTCGAAGGCACCTGGCTTATATCGGCTGCGGGAGCCGCGAGAGTATGCAACCGCGGTTAATCTGGATTGTTGATCCTGGACCGCAATAGACTGAACCTAACAGCCTGAAACATCAAACGTCATTAGCTTCGTTGTTTCGCAAGGAAGTAGTAAACTGTTCCATGGTTACGCCTCCTTCGGATAAGCCATCGTCGCTATGCTACTGAAGCCAAACCTGAATCGCTATTGTGCCTGAAACATTGAACGTAATTGATCGAGAAGATTAGAAAAGGTTACATTGCGGTGTTTGATGTACGACTGCGAGGCGGCCATATTTGGACTTCAAATACTATTATTTGGATAGATAGAGAACTTTTCATGGGAGAAGTTCGCTATATGCCCTCCATTTCAAATAAAGTGCAGTTATAAAACGCTGTTTAAGAAGGGCCAGTTTAGACAAATCGGTAACGATAATCGAAATACCACCGAGTAATCTAAGACGCCAGCTAGTTCGTAAACGCGTATACGACCGTCTATGTGCAGCGCAAAATTGCATAATTTGTCCCAATTGTAGAGACGGTGACTGCATGAGTTTGGGTACAGTCTATCTGATCTCTTGTAAAGTGTGAGAAGACGAATACGTTGGCGAAACGGGAAGACCACTCTACATGCGTACGAATACGTTGGCGAAACGGGAAGACCACTCTACATGCGTATAAAAGAGCACCTAGTCGGCAAACGTAAGCCAAATACTCCGTTAGGCACGCATAGGACGCAGAGACATAACGGAGAAGATTTTGAAGTAAGGGTTACGATCTTCGCGCAAGAATCGAGAACACAAGCGCGCAAAACTCTAGAGGCATTCTGGATTAACTCCAAGAATCCGAAAATAAATCACAGGGAGGAATTCCTCATTATCACGCGTGATATTGGACAGTATATATACTTGTTATTCTGATGGGAGAGGCACATTACGCTTCCATGTGAATTCTGTGCGGTCGGTCTTCACACGACATGCTCAGTGGAAGTCTCATAGGGAGCAGTGAGTGTGCAAAGTTGTGTTAAATGTGATTGAAATCTTGGTTTAGCGGTTTCTCTGTTTGGTCATGAAGGTGTTTGGCCAGATTGGTTGCTGTCAACTTAACCTTTCCAGACTCTGAGGAAGGCGAAATCCGTAGAAACGTCAGCTTGTACGCAAATAAAGAAATAAAATAGCACCTCGTATTTGCTGAACAAAAGAAGAAAGAATTATTCAATTCCAAAAATTCAAAAATGAACCGCAAAGAGGAGTGTCTTGTCATCACGCGTGACCTGGCGCCATACCTGAGGCTAATCCAACGACCTGGCGCAGGCACAGTCATCGCCCATGTAATACTCTGTGCGGTTGCTATCCATCAACGAACCTATATAGTATCAACATTATCATTATATCCACCATCAGCATCGTGTATAAAAGGGCATCACTGAGTAAGGATGCCTCATTCGAGGAGATGGCCCACTGAAGGAGACCTGACTCGACACGAAGGCGAAGCTGCCACGTCGAGACGAATAACAAGCGTGGACCATCAACTCGGATCATCGGCTCTGAGGAAGACGAAGACGTTGAAACGTTAGCCGAAAATAAACATCATTATCAACCTCGTGTAAGCTCATCAAAGAAAGAATACAAATTTATTTGTTAAGTTTTATCTGCTGGGGTTATGAAAGTGTTTAGCTGAATAGATCGTATCTCATTTTGACCTTTCTAGGCTCTGAAAAAGGCGAAACCGTCGAAACGTCGGCCATTGCACCCTAATAAATTCTACAATAAAAACCTCGTGTCTGCTTATTAAAGAAAAACATCGAATAATAACCATTGCTGGTTAACGTTTTGTTTTCTGCCTTCTATAATTTTCATGGCAGGTTACTAAGCGAAATACAACCGCAACGTTGCTGAGATATTTGCAAAACTCCGAACCGCAGATATCTGCGGTTTGGAACGAACGCGCTATTGTCCTTTCCGGGGAGTAACGCGTTCACCACCACACCATGCGGGTCCTTCGTTTCGCCTGTCTCTCAGCTCATAGCTCAGTCTCTCATAACCATTGTTATCGATTTCTTAGCTGACTCTTTCCAGGATCCCGTTGCGATTCCATTTAGTAGTATCTCTTCTTAATTTAACAGTATTTCTGTGTCATATCTCCCTTCCCTCATACTGTTTCATAAATTTATTGTAGAAGTTTCGCATACTCTCAGTGTAGCTGTTTCTTGCACATATCACATTAACGTGTTAGCTTCGCCACATTGCTACTGCTGTGCTAGTACTCTTTACACAAAGACTTAATTATCCAAGTTTACGTTCAAATTGCACCAATAGAAACTCCATGTAGTGAAATTACAGAACACAAGCATCTATCATTTAACAAGTGCAGAAACGTTGTATTAAATACACAAATGTGTTGGACGATATTGTTACCTCAATTTAGAGATGAAGCATCAACAAGAAATAGCCATTACATTATTTCTATTTAATCATGTTCGTTGATTTATTAGATAGTACAGAGACTACATCTTTAACCGTGGAGTGGTATCCATGAAAATACGCAAGAGAGATTCAAATGTGCGTGCAACAGAATAAAAGGAGACTTTTTTATTATTTTAAGGCGATAACAAGTACAGAAGGAAATACAAACTTGTCAGAACAATGTATATCAGTGGACAAGCAATCCGGGCCACTATGTCGAGGCGAGCAGAGCACAACGACACAGCGTCACCTTTACGACGGAACGAAGATTCGATAACGTCCGAATAGCTACATGTGGATTTGTCCTGTAGACAGTTCTAGAAAACATGATTGGAAATAGTAAACACACCACAAACATAATATAGATCATGTGAAATAATTCAGCAAAACATGAAGAACTAAAGTGCACGACATATTTGAGAATAAAGGAAAACGAAGTTCTGCATCTTTGTAGAGTTCCTGCAATTCATTTTTAAACATTGATGACCATATATGCCTCCTTTTACCAAAGCATTTTCGCTTTTCCGCGTGTGGGCGTATGAGTAGAGGTGCGCGTGAGTGTGGATTGGTGTGTTGTGGTTAGAAGTAAGCAAAATGGGTGTATAGAGTACGGTGCGCTTGTCTTAAAAACACCTGGAGTAAGAGCCTACAAAAATTTCGTAATAATGTAAGTAATGATACTTTCGGAGTTTCAGTCGAAGGAAACCAATTTATCCCGAAAAGGCTTTACTCCCCGTTAATGGTTTACCGTTTCACCGTGGTTCGGAGGTGATCCCGAGTGTTTGAACCGCGGCCTAAAATAAGAACTAATTCCCCAGGAAAAAAAAATTCGATACTTCTATCAGAAAGCCTGGGTAAAGATCAACCTATACCAGAAAACACTGTCATAGCAGTAACAATGTATTAACTAGTTGGCAAGTTGTGATGAGTTACGAAAGTGGTAGCAGAAGTTTCCAGAAAGGCAAGGAAGGAAAATTTTTCCCAACCGAAAATTACCAGCTAAATGAGAACAGTGTTCATCTGCATGGTTTTTCATGAATGGTGAACAGCAACCGCAAAAAGTATTCAAGCGGAAGCTTTACTTCGCTCATGGTGCGTCATCATTTTGTTTCTTCAAAAAAGCAATCGTGATGGGAAATCCTTTGAAAAGTGTTTAACCTTCATTTACTGCCCATTCCTCTTTCATGTAAGGGAATTGCGTAACAATGCGAGATATGAGCAAAACTAGAAATTTCATTTGGTCTTCTGACTCAAAATTACCCTTACATGGGACCACTCGCGCTGTCTGGCACACCATCCGGGGAACTTACTTTGCCTTTCTCATAGCCAGTTTCTCACTCTAACGGTGGTATCAGCAATCACCCACTCACGTGAACGATCTAGAGAGTACATCGATTGCAGTTTCAGCGCAACTGGAGTAAATGCCTATTTGAACCTTTGAACTGGAACCCAGTCATTCTCGTTGGCGGGTGATTGCTGATAGCACCTCTACAGGAAAATCTGGCTAAGAAAAAGGCAAAACAAGGGCATCGGCTGATATGGCGAATAGCACGTGAGCCACCGGAAGCGGTAATCGTGGGATCGAAGCTCAACTGAAGTTCTCGCTCATATCTCAGCGTCATTTGAAAAAGTTTCCAAAGTGGCAAAAAAAGCTTCCCTTTTGAAGAGCTGGTTAAACCATGGTTAAGAGAATGTGGAGGTAGTCAAAGCATCTCTAGGGGAATGAACAGGTGGTCAGCAATGTTTTAACTCGATACCATTCTGTCATGCAATTTCTAACTTTAACATCTAACATTTCTGTTATTTCAATTTTAAGTAGCTCCCTATACTAACTCACCGTATGGCTGTTTTTCTTCGAATACATCACCTTTCGCACGATTCGTCGTTCACGACGTAATCGACTCACATCGCGAACGTTTTTGCTGGCGGTGCTTAGCGCGCGACACTTTCTTACTTCGCTTTCAACAATTACAGACAAATAAATCTAAAAAAAAACATTTAGGTCTCCCTGATAAACAGCTGAGTGTTCTGAGAACAGGAAAAGAGCGATGAGCTGGTAATACTCACAAAGAAAACTGCTACAGCGGACTGAGCCGCCAGGAGGGCAGACCAAACATCGGCAGGTGTCGCTGCTGACACTGGTACTAAGACCGAGTGCAAAAAAAATGCACACTGTAAAAGTGGAAACGTATTTTTCGTTTGAGAAACCGATTAAAAAAATCTTTTGAGTCGTTTTCTTCGTATTTTTGTTGAGCAAACGCGAGGTGTTATTATTCTCTGTTCACGATTAAGCTGACGTTTCGGTGGATTACGCCTTCCTCAGAGCCTGGAAAGGTCAAGTTGATAGCAATCCACTCGGCCAGACGCCTCCATAACCAAACAAAGAAACTCCAAACCGAGATTTCAATCACTTAACACATTTGCACACTCACCGCTTCCTATGAGGTTTCCACTAAGTATGTCACGTAGAGACCAACCGCACAGAAATCACATGGAAGTATAATGTGACCCTCACATCAGAAAAGCAGTTTTATATACTGCCCTATATCACGCGTGATAATGAGGCATTCTTCCTGCGGTTCAATTTCGGATTTCTGGAATTAATCCAGAGTGCCTCGAGAGTTTTTCGGGCCCGTGTTCTTGATTCTTTTGAGTCGATTTGAGGTTCCATTAAGCCGAATTTCCTTTCCCTCCTCTTTCTCCTGGGCTCATATAAGGGATTTCGAGCCGGCTAGACGAGAGGCTACGTGGCGCATCCTCAGGTGGCGGATACGGTGTTAACCGCGGACCAAAGGCGACCGTGGCTCCGCTGAGACGCAGGTGGATCGAGAGGATGGGCCCCTTGTTTCTGCCGCGCTGATTTCGCATGTACTTTCTCTATTTCCCAGGCGTAGTCAGGCATGTGTGCGTGGGTGCGTTCTTGCTTATGTGGATTGTATTCTACGAGTCAATTCGGTCAAAAACTTGAAATAAAATGACTGGGAAGTATATGGGAAGCGGCTCGAAGTCGTCTCCAACAAATAAGCTCCATGTCCACTCTGGGAGAGCCTGGCAAGCTTCTTGTAAGTATACCGAGCATCTACGTTCAGATCCCAGCAAGCTATACGTAGGTATCGAAATGCTAAACACATTCAAAAAAACGGGCCTCATCACCTGACCCCGAAAGAGCTCCCAATTTCGCAGCGTTGCGTAGGACGAGCACGGAGAGGCTGCTAAAATCACAGGACCAATGGAAGCCGCCTGGATTTGAAAAAACTATGGTGACGATCTGTACCTAAAATGCACGTAAACTTGCATCCGGGTTCTCAATAGAAGACTTGCTCATGCAAGCAAGAGGGATAAAGTACGACGACAACGGCCTGACCAAGACGAGACGTCATCTATTCAACGCCGTTTATGACACTGCCGATGGACTGTTCCTCGGAACATGCGACAATAAGGGAGTCGGCGGCGTCAGCGTTCTCTTCAACACGAGTTTGCCCATGAACATTGATTTATTCGAACAACTTACAACCCGAATTGGACATGTACAACTAAAAAGGTGTGGACAAATACCGGCTTTGACAATCTTCGTCGTTTACGCGCCCAAGCAGACTATGACGAGGAACAACCCGAAGCGTTCTATACGGACTTGGAAAAGTTCTACACACAATACAATACCTTCTTCAAGGTCATCATTGGAGAGTTCAACGCCAAGATTGGAAAAAGAAGAACGTTTGAAGAACGTCGCATTGGAACCCACGGATTAGAATGGAACGAACAGGGATAGCGGCTATCTGAGTGTATCATGGCGACCAATACCATTCATGATAACTCGGAATTCCAGAATCCCCACCCTCAACGCTCGACGTGGGAGTCTCCCAATGGAGAGTACCATAACGAAATAGACCACATCATAGTAAATAGGTTTTGCCTAACCGATGTTGTTGCTGTCCCAAAATTCTAAACGGGGTCAGACCATCGCCTTCTTCGTGTAAGATTCTATTTCTCGCGAAACGGAGAAAAAGCCGCTGAATTCAAAAACCGAAGTCCCAAAACCACTATGAACTGGAACTTATTCAATTCATTGGTCGTCTGTTGGGAAGATGCCCTTGTCGATAACATCGACGAAGAATACAACCAGTTCATTCAACATGTTTACGTCAGCGCTATGAAAACTGAGAGCTCGAAAGTCCCCAAGAGGCGTCTGTCTCCAGAAACACTCGAGCTCACACGCCAGTGTGGAATCGCACGAGCTGCAGGCAATCAAGAACTAACGTCCGAACCTGCAAAACAATGCAGACAGGCAAAAAAAACTTAAAGAGAGAAGATCAGCAGAAAAGGTCAAAGCTGCAGAGGCTTCACACGTTACCTGTCTAGGCACTCGCAAATCCCACCGAAGCTCCGCCAATTACAAGACCAAGATGATCGCACTACGACGCCCAGACGGAACAGTTACAGCCTCCAGCAGCAATGGAGAAAATCATTTACGATTACTACTCGGATTCCTTCCATAGCCACGTCCACATTTCTTCATATGAAATAAAGGGGGATGGATATGTTGTACCACCGGTTTTCCCTTCCGAAATCCGACATTTCATTTCGTCGGTGAAAGGTCTAACAGCACCAGTCCGGGAAGGATAAAACCAGAACACCTGAAGAACATTCCGCCAATCCTCGAAAACAGACTGACTTGGCTCTTCACACGTTACCTGTCTGAATGTAAGGTCCCTACTCAGTGGAAGACCAGCAAAACCGTGTCATTGTTCAATAAGAGTGACCTACACGATATCGGCAACTATCGCCCAATCTGCTGTTCGTTGTATACAAACTTTTCACTCGAGTCATCCTAAACAGGATTGACAGAACACTAGACGAATGACAGCCATGTGAGCAAACAGGGGTTCGAAAAGGATTTAGTACAATGGACCACATCCACACGGTAACAAGGCTCATTGAAGTATCGCAAGAGCACAAAAGACCGCTCTGTCTCACTTCCACTGATTTACAGAAGGCCTTTGATTCAGTTGGCAGTCTTGGAAGCCCTTGATAGTCAAAGAGTTCTCCCGCGCCGATTTCACATGTACTTTCTTTATTTCCCAGGCGTATTCACGCATGTGTGTGTGTGTGTGCGTGTGCGTTCACGTTTATGCGGATTGTATTCTACGAGTTAATTCAGCAAAAGCCTGTAATCAGGTGACAGGGAAGTATATGGGAGACGGTTAGGAGTCGCCTCCAACAAATAAGCTCCATGCCGACTCTGAAAGAGCCTGGCAAGCTACTCGTGATTATACTCAGCCCCACATTCAGAGCCCAGCAAGTTATACATGGGTATCAAAATGTTGAAAACAGTAGAAGAAACGGAACTCATTCCCCTGAACCCGAAAAAGCCGCCAAATTTGGTAGCGTTGGTTACGACGAGTACGGAGAGGCTGTTAACATCTCAGGGCCATTGGAAGCTGCCTGAATCGCGAAGAACTAAACTGACGATCTGTAACGGCAATGCACGCACACTTCCATCCGAGTCCTCGATACAGGACTTGATCATACAAGCAAGAAGGATAAAGTACGACGGCATGGGCCTGGCCGTAACGAGACGACGCCATCCATCCAACGCCGTCTGTAACACCGGAGAAGATTTGCACCTCGGAACATGCGACAGTAGAGGAGTCGGCGGCGTCAGCGTTCTCGTCAACAAAAGTTTGTCCATGAACGCATCGATCCATTCGAAGAACTAGGAACCTGAATCGGAGGTTTACGATTAAAAATATGTGGATGAATACCGACCGTGACAATCTTCATCGTTTACGCGCTGACATCAAATTATGACGAAAAACAAGTCGAAGCGTTCCATATGGACTTGGAGAAATTCTACAGAGAAGACCACACAATCCTCAAGGTCATCATTGAAGATTTTAACGCCAAGATTGGTCCAGAAAAAACGTCTGAATAATGCCGTATTGGAGCCCACGCATTAGAATGGGACGAAAAGGGTGAGCGGCTTTCCTAGCCTATCATGACGATCAAGACCATTCATGGTCACTCGCAATTCTAAAAGCCCCACCCTGAACATTGGACGAACGAAATAGACCACTTCATAGTAAACCTAAGGTTTTACCAAACCGATGTCGCTGTTGTCTAAAAAATCTACACGAGATTAGACCACCGCCTCCATCGCGCAAGAGATCTACAAAGCATCTACACACTTGCACTATGAAAGCTGATAGTTCGAAGATCACCGAAATTCAAGAGACGTCTGTCTCCGGAAACTATCGAGCCGGTACGACAACATGGAATCGCGGGAACTGCAGACAACCGCGAACTAATGTCCGAACTTGCAAAACAATGCAGATGGGCAATAAAAGATTTTAAAGAAAGAAGAGCAGCAGTAATGATCAAAGTTGCAGAGTCTGAGAAAAGCATTCGTAACGCCCACCGAAGCTTCACCAATTACAAGACCAAAATAATTGCACTCCAACGCCCAGACGGAACCGCTACAGCATCCAGAAAGGGAATCATTCACGAATACTGCTCAGATCTCTTCGATAGCCACGTCCACCTTCCGTCATATCAAATAAAGGAGGACGGATCTGTTGTATCACCGGTTCTTAATTACGAAATCCGACATGCCATTCCGTCGGTGAAGTATCTAACAGCTCCAGGTCCGGACAGGATAATACAAGAACACCTTGCGCCAGTCCTCTTAAACACACTGGCTCGGCTCCTCACATCTCACCTGACTGAATACAAGGTCTCTACTCAGTGGAAGACCAGCAAGACCGTGTTATTGTTCAAGAAGGGTGACGTCTACGATATCGGAAGTATCGAGCAACCTGCCTGCTCTCTCGTCTACAAACTTTTCACTCGAGTCATCCTAAACAGGGTTGACAGAACACTAGACGAAGGGCTGCCATGTGAGCAAGCAAGACAAACAGGATATCACCATTCTACGACAATATTAACATCGACGTTTGGTGAGGGGTTAGGCTAGGCGAACCCATCTCGCCAAAATTATTTACCGCCACCCTCGAGAACGTCATTCGAACATTGGAATGGGATAATATGGGAGTGAATATCGATGGTCGGCAGTTACACCAACTTCGCTTTGAGATGACATCGTCCTTATAACACAAAACATTAGCCAAGCAAGACAAATGCTTGCCGACTTTGATAAGGCCTGTGTAAAGATTGGTCTTCGACTAAATCTCACAGAAACGATGTTCATGAAGAACGGATTGGTTTCGCATGCCCCATTCACGCTCAACGGAACGAACATCTCCGAATGCTCCAATTATTTTTATCTAGGTCGGGAAATCAACATGTTAAACCAGTTAGCTCCAGAGCTGAGCAGAAGAAAACGAGGGGCTTGGGGAGCTTTCAAGAGCATCGAGGATGTAGTGAAAAGGACAAAGAACACCTGACTCCGTTCCCACCTTTTCAACTCAACGGTACTTCCTGCCTAATGTATGCGTCAGAAACCTAGTCCCTGCGTAAACGTGATGAAAGGTTACTAAGCGTTATTGAATGCGCAGTCGAACGGACAATGCTAGGAGTATCTCGTGTCACGCAATTAATAGAAGGGATCCGAAGCTCCGACCAGCGTCAACGGTCAAAAATCGAACATGCCTTTCTGTACGCCAAGCAATCGAAGATAAAGTGGGCCGGACACGTAATGCGTATGAATGACGACCGATGGACAGGAGCCGTTAGTGACTGGATTCCTCGGGATGTCAAGCGTACTGTGTGAAGACCACCGACCCGATGGTCAGAGTTTTTCACGAAAAGCCAAGAAGAAAGCTATAATGCTCGACGAGTCCCTACAGCGAGCAGAACCTACTGGGCTACTCCCACGTCCGACTTTCTATTAACCTCCGACATTACGCTTCGAGGTGAATTCTGTGCGGTTGGTCTTCACACGACATACTCAGTAGAAGACTCATAGAAAGCGGCTCTGAAAAAGGTGAAATCCGCCGAAGCGTCAGCTTTTACGTGAGTGGGGAAGTGGAATAGCACCTCGTGTTTGCTGAGCAAAAGTGGAAAGAATTGTTCAACCACTGAGCTACTCTTGCACGTGACAGGGATAAATGGAAGATTTACTGGCACCCGTTCGAGTCACTCGACGATCAACGGGTCTACAGGTGATACTGGTGATACCGTTTTCCACTTAAAACTTAACTTAAATTGAGACTTTTGGAATCGAATTGAATTTTCGCTGCGGACTTACTCCGCCGAATTTTCCATTGTGACGAATGAGTGCTTTGAAGGTTTATAGTGATAGTTGACAAGATACAGCTATAAGTTTAGGACATGTTATTTCTAAGACTTATTACTAAAATTGGGTTTGTAATAGTAACTTACAACGACAATCTGGAAGAATATTGAGAACGAGACGAGAAGCACACGACTGACGAGATCATTTCGGTCCACATAGAATGATACCCACGCCAGGAAAAGTACTAGTGATGATGGCAAATAAAAGCGATAAAATACCAAGCAAAATGGTCGCACGAATTCGAACCGTACAGCCAGGCATGAATGGGATGCTGTAATTGAGAAATAGTGTAAACTTTTGCAGCAAGCCCATCGGGAATGATAACTAAGTAAAAAATGATTGGTGACGAAGATGCTAGAGGGCGCTTGACTCGATGTTTTCTACCACTGTAACAGATTTATACCGCTTCTGGATTTTCCGTACTGAAGGTTGCCAGTAGTAAGAGTGAAAGCACTATTCGAGAATCACGGTAAACAATCAAGATTCCACGGCTATTCAAACATTTTGAATTCATTTCACCGCATAAAACTATTTTTGTTACACTTTTTGAACAACGTTAAATCAGTGAGGACAAATTATCGCTTGGATTCCACAATATATCATGACGCTCATAAAAGACCTACTAGTTAATCCAAAGTTCGAAAACAAAGCGTCAGCTACCACCATTGTGAAATTCACATCTCCGAACACCTAATTTCAGCAGTACTCGATATTCAACTCAAAAATCAAAGCCAGAAAACTTTCTCACTAATTGTTGATGTTGATGACGCTAATGGTAGAGCTCTTTTGTGAACGCACGTCGTTGAAGTGATCTGCAAAGATAACTAGGATTTCTGTGAAAATGAGGAAATGACTGATAAGACCTGATTTTTTCTAGTGAAGATTCATTTAGTTCAATTACATAAACATGAAAAATGAAAAACCCCTCCTTTGTCTAGCTACGCCACCTGCCCTCTAACCCTTGGCAACCAGTTTATCAGCACAGCTTTGCCTCTGATTCACACCCAGTGGGAACGCAATACTGATCGTTATGCTGCCACTTGCCTGACTTTGTTTTTGTCTCAGCGATGATACAAATGACCCCGCGTGGTGTGATAATGACCGCATTACTCCCCGGAAAGGACAACAGCACGTTCGTTCCCCACCATAGACACTTGCGGTCCAGAGTTTTGCAAATATCTCAGCAACGTTGTGAAGGAATAGATTTTGTGTTTCCCCGTTACCACCTATGTTATCGAATAGGTGTAAAGCGAACCGAATTCGCCTACGACTAGCAATCAAAGCAGCGTGTGTTCACAGTGAATTGATCTCCAACACACACCAGTAACACGATAGAATACTTTTATACTTTAACGGTGTGCTCTAACAGCGTGTGTCAGCACTTATTTCATTCTATTCGCTGTCCTGTTGCTATCAAAAATAGGTATCACTGTACTTTTAGCTAGCTGTTGCATGGGGATGTGTCGACTTCACTTTTCTCTGACATTGTGAATGTTGGCTAAGCTTTATTTCCCATGGATTTCCGAGATAAGAATGTTAGCTATTTTCATCGACAACACTCCTTAGCTCTTGCACACTTGTCCAGGATGAAATCCGCAATTAGTCGACTCTGATTCACACTCAGTGGGGCCATAAGGCCATAAGACGATCGATAGGCCATAAGACGCCGAACGGCTCATTAATAACATAATTCGAAAATATTTCTCCTCTACATACATCACAACTAAACAACGCTGCCTTGAATACGAAGAAAAACTGTTAGGCGAAAAAAGTGTTTCGTCCAAAGAGGTCTCCTTTTAGCTGCAAGCAATTAGAGGTTTCCATCCAAGAGCTCAGCTAGGACTGGGACACACTGTTGTATTGACAACGAGATGATCCTTAATTGGTAAGCTCTAGTGAACCTAGCAGCTCTAGCACGAATTCCGAGACTCCACAAGGAACACTTGACCAACCAATAAATTACCGGTGATATGGAAAATGTGTTGTGGTTCGTACGAATTCTCGTGAATTAAGTATTCTAGTACCTGTCGAATGACTGTGATGGAAGCGTAAAGATTTTGTTTGACACCTTCAATACGTGGATTAATGCCTATAAAATTCTAGCACATTGTTTTTTCAAATATGTCGTTAAAACATAACAATGCATTGGCGAAAAATACCATGTGAAATGCGCTATAAAACCCAAGCGTTCCTGACTTATCGCGGATTTTCAGGATAAGAAAACGTCAGCGACCAAATGTTTCACAGCATGAAAAGTAAACAAAGAAACGTTCTTTAGAAATTTCTTTTCATCATTTAACTCCTGTTACTTGCTACAAACAAAGATTATAACATAAGTGAAGCGCGCTTAGAACAGCCACGTTATAGACCCGCGCTTTTTATTCGAAAATGAAGCCAATATTTGTTCTTCCTTGAATAGGAGTGGTGTTCGTCGATGACAAAACGCCAACGAGGTTTATGCCGTAGGCTTTTCACGTAGTTTAGTAGATTCCAAATCAGCAACAATTTTTAATTCTTTTTTCATTGCATTTTTTCCCCGTGAAATTGAGCAATTAGCTAAAACGTGTGCTGTGAAGGTCGCTGACGCCAACTAAAACACAATCTAGTCGCTCTCTGTAAAAAAAAAATACTTAATTTTTATAGCGTTTCGGTTTAAAATTTCCACTTTTTTAAACAACGCCAGCAAAATAAATAACTTTATGGCAAAGGAACAGCAAACTAAGAAAAAATTGAGCATAAAGCATAAATTACCTCATTGACGATGAGAAATGGAGTGTTCATTGAAGAACTAGCCAACTTTGGTGATGATCTCCATGTGAGGATCAGTTCATCAGATGAGTGCTTTCCTGAATAGAAAAGTTCTAAATCTCCATGCATAGCATCTCTTGTAAAAGTGTTCATTTTTTTGGCTAAGGAAAAATTGAAGTATATTTAAAGATGCTTGAAAAATATTTCTTTCTGTAGGAGATCTTCTCAAAAGCATCAGTTTAGGTCCTGGGCCGCGAGTTGAATTAATGAGACGGATTTAACCATAATGTTGTTGAGATACTTGCAAAACTCCGAATCGCTGGTGTCTGCGGCGGAGACAGAAAAAAGCTATTATCCTTTTCGAAGGGAAACAGATTTATTTCGCATGTAAGCCAAGTATAACGAAATTGTAAGCAGCCGGCGGAGAGTTTCGATGATGTTGACGCATTTGGCCCATAATAATATATTGCCTATCACATTATTTCCACTGTTTATTTTACCTATACGGCTTTTCTTCAATTATACCTTTTGTACGGGGCGGAGATAGTGCAGTGGTTAGTGATGTCGTCGACCAGGTAGCAGAGGCGCTGGTTCGGTCCGCGCCACAACGCTCGCCTCCAATCCACGTGAGAATGGCATAGCCGACTATCTTCAGGACTACAATGAGAATCGACTAGGCCGGTATTCCACGATATTCATAAAGGAGACGAAATCTTCAAGTAGCAGCCGAAACAACTTGTGAAATGTTCGAAGACCATTGTGGACGATGACTGCGATGGAAACGCATCGAATGCAAGAAGTGCTGGAATCCTTGGAAAAGACACGATGATGAGTTGCGTAAAATAAAAGAAAACCTTTTGTATTCAATCAACAATTTCGTGACTACAGATGTTGTACCATACGATGAAGAAGTAAGGCTATTTTTACGAGCACATTACTACGCACGCTCTAGTTCACAAAAAATGTGCCTTATGAAGTCCTGCGATGAGGAATTATTGCTTGTAAAGAGAGTATTCTGGCAATTCACCGGAGAAACGAATAGGGTATCAAAATGGTTCTGCGTCACAACACAAACACACAGGTCCCGCAACGATTCTGTGAATTTGCTAGCGACTCACTAACATGGACACTGTTGATAATGACAAATCTACATGATTTGCTTTTTGTCCTTTTTTAAGAGACGGGAAGAGAGCAAGGTAAACGAGAGGAGGAAGGACAAGAAGAAAAAACAATAGGAAAGACGCGTAGTTGAACGGACTCAAACTGAATACGACAAAGAATTAAGCGTCGCTTAAAATGTGTGAAGAATACAGAGCGGCAACGAAATCCGGCTAACACATTTCCTTCCACCAACTGATTCCCTTTCTCGGAAAGCCTAGCATTAGAATACCAGTAGTTCTTGACTTTACCATCTATATCACCAGAATTTCCCAAGAAGTAAAGTCATCATTGATCTCATATTCTCATAGAGACGGGCCAAATGTCGTGTGATTCATGGTTTTTCAAACTATAAACGCTCTTATGAAGTTTTCAAAGAACTCTTTCTGTAGCAGCCTTTTAATTTTCTATGACTTCTCTCATATTAGTTCCTATTTAAGCAATACCAATTTTCTTTGTAGCGAGACCAGCTATCATCCTCTGACAATATTGTATCATTTCCAATTCTGTCGCTTCATCCGCATTTTTAAAAGAATACTTATATTTAATATTATATTATAGCTCCAGCTTAACTGGGTTCGTGCCGATTTGTGCCCCCAGATTGCCGATTTGTGCCCCCAGATCACTACCGTTCACTGGTGATTGCTGATAGCCCCTATAGCTCAATAACACGGCTGATAGACAGGCGAAAAGAAGTATTCAAATGGTGTGGTGGTGAACGTATTGGCCTTTGGAACTGGTAATAAAAAGGTTCAATCCCCCACCTCAGACACCAGCCCTCTGGAGTTTTACAAATAGCTCAGCAACATTGTGGTTATGTAGTAATTGCCAGGACCGACTTTCTATCAACCTCGGCATTGATGAAATAGTTCTCGATATTCCTGTTGAGAAAACTTGAGTGTTACGTTATTCCTCATTCCCTTAAAGGTGACGTCTCGGCAGATTTCGCCTTCTTCAGAGCCTGGAAGGGTATACTGATAGGCAGTTTACTAAGTCAAACGTTCTGAGAACACGTACAGAAAGGTGAAAATCTAAATCGCAATCACACGATCAACGGATTCTCGAAAAAACTCATTGTTTATTACGTGTCTTCCACTGAGGAAGAACAGCTGATCAGAGACGCACATGGTCGATAAATGCACCACCCCACATCAAAAGTCGATGCGAAGGTTCAGGGCCAGCTCGGGTGTGACCTCTGAAAAGCCTCTAGAAGTTTGCGCGTTGGTCTTTTGGCATCCTGTGTGAGGATATTGACTTTAATATCAAAATCGTCTCCGCTGCGCTTTTGTATCCTATGAGTCCTTAGTGGACTGCCTTGTTTTGCTTTTCGTTTGCCATCTGGGTGTTCTTTTATGCAGATACATAAAGGTCTGCCCGTTTCGCCAATATATTCATCTCCGCAAATACTACAAGAGATCAGGTATATCGTACCTGAACTCATGCAGCCACCGTCCTTGCCGTAAAGGCAAATTACGCCACTTTGTATTTCGCATCACCTGTATCAACTGTTGTCCCGTTGATCGTCGAGTAACGCAAGCGGACGCCAGTAAATCTTCAATTCCTCCTTATCGCATGCAAGAGTAGCCCAATGGGTTCTGCTTGCTCTACGTGCTAGCCGAGCATCATATCTTTCTTCAAGGCTCTCTGTGAAGAACTCTGACCATCGGGTCGGTGGTCTTCACACAGTACGCTTGACATCCCGAGGAATCCAGTCACTAACAGCGCTCTTGTCTATCGGTTGTCATTCATATGCATTACGTGACCGGTCCACCTTATCTTCGAGTGTTTGGAGTACTGAACGGCATCTTTGATTTTTGATCGTTGACGCAGGTCGAATCCCATCTCTTATTTGTGTGAAACGGTATACTCCTAGCATCGTCCTTTCGACTGCGCGTTCGATAACGCTGAGATATCTTTCATCCTGCTTACGCAGCGACCAGGTTTCTGACGCATATGTTGGGGCAGGAAGTACCGTTGAGTCGAAAAAGTGGGCACGGAGTCGGGTGCTGCTGGTGCTTGTTCTCTTCACTACATCCTCTATGCTCTTGAGGACTCCCTAAGCCGATCTTCTATTTCTGCTCAGGTCTGGATCTAAGTCGTTCATCATATTGATTTTCCGACCTAGATAGAAATAACTGGAGCATTCGGAGATATTCGTTCCGTTGAGCGTGAATGGGACATACGAAACCAATCCATTTTTCATGAACATTGTTTTTGTGAGATTCACCAGAGGACAAATCCTTCCACAGGCTTTATCAAAGTCGACAAGCATACGTTCCGCTTCGCTAATCTTTGGTGTTATAAGCACGATGTCATCAGCAAAACGAAGATGGTGTAACTGCCGACCATCGATTTCCACATCCCACAATCCCAATCCCACAATTTCCACAATCCCATTCCAGTGTTCGCATGATGTTCTCGAGGGTGGCGATAAATAATTTTGGCGAGATGGTATCGCCTTGCCTAACTCCTCTTTTGACGTCAATGTTAATGTCGTTGTAGAATGGTGATATCTTGGTTATGAAATTTGTGTACAACTCACGGGGAATCTTTATGTACTGGGTAGAGGCTTCTTAAATATCAAAAGCTTTCATGACTGCTTCTATCACAAATGAATCAAGGGCCTTCTGTAAATCAATGAAAGTGAGACAGAGCGGTCTTTTGTACTCTCATGATACTTCAATGAGCCTTGTTATCGTGTGGATGTGTTCCGTTTTAGTAAATCCTTTTCGAAATCCTGCTTGCTCACGTGGCTGCCTTTCGTCCAGTGTTCCGTCAATCTTGTTTAGGATGACTCGAGTGAAAGGTTTGTAGGCGACAAACAGGAAGAAGATTGGGCGATAGTTGCCGATATCGTGTAGGTCAACTTCCTTGAACAATAACACGGTCTTGCCGTGTTGTTCACATAGACGGTCATATAGTCGGTTGCGAACTAATTGGCGACGAGGGGAATCAGGTGGTATTTCAACTATCGCTACCGATTCCTCTTGACCTGCCCTTCTTAAGCATCGTTTTATAGTTACACTTACTTCATCGCTAATGAAGGGCAACATAAACGGGGTTTTGTCTCGGCCACGCTTTTCCTTTTTGGCTTCGCTCTCCTTCTAGACTTACCTCGTGGGATTACTATTTGGTAGCCATTGGAGATGGCTGTTTACCGAGCCAAGTTGCGCGATTCCTCTTTTAGATCCATTTTCGTGCACACAGAGGTGGCTGTTCGAAACATGTTTCTTACAAGTTCTTTGTGTGTGAAAGGTGGGAGGAGAGGAAATGAACGACGATGTTCTTGTTACTTGGTTTTCTATACCATTTTGTCATGTAACCGTTATTCGATAAGTTTATTTGAACGTTAAGAAATTTAAGCCAATCTTCTTCACGGGTAAATTTGATGTACTCAGACTGTTCATTCAACAATTCAAAGCATTTGACCACCTCATCCTGAGTATAGAAGATGATAAAACAGTCATCTATATCTTTCTAGTTCTGTTCAGCAAGCACGAGGTGCTATTTTATTTCTTTATTTACGCACAAGCTGACGTTTCGGCGGATTTCGCCTTCCTCAGAGCCCACTATTCTCCTCCAGAGGCGGTCCTCCAAATACTGAGCACAATAGTTTTCTTTCTTCTCGCACTTCTTCCACTTAGCGAACATCTGGTTTTGTTTGCTTCGTAGACAGGTGCGCAGTACTTGCAATTCGATGTCCAGTACTCGGTGGTCATCCTCTGGTAGTCGGCATACTTCGTGTAGTCGTTTTCTTTTTATGAATTTTGGAACGACTTGGTGTTTTATGCAGCGGCGGAGAAAGTGTATTGACTGTCGAGCTAAGACGATCTTTTGTCTTAGTGACAGTGCTTCTTTTGATATATTCAATCAATGCCGAGGTTAATAGAAAGTCGGACTTGGGAGTCATCTATATGTCTACAGTAGAGTGCGGGTCGGAAATCGACGGTGCTTCTGCTCTAGACATGAACGCAATTGCGAGATTTGGTGCCAAACGCTGTCCCATTGCCAGCCCTTTAATTTGTGCACAATAATTCCCAGACCATCTAGAAATCGAGCAGTTTAGGCACTCTTTTAAGAGAGCCGTAAGCTGCTGAATGCAGAAGCATGCATATGTATTCTTCCATGTTTAACAAGAAGTTCGAGCACGGCTTGCATTGCGGAGTCATTCGATACGTTAGTGTAGAGCGCAGAAACATCCAAAGACTCCACGTACGCGTTGTTTAGAGATGCGTTACGTAGGCGTTCTATGAACATGTGGATGTTCGTGAGATGAGCTGGGATGTAGTTACGCAGGTGGGTGAGTATTAGGGTTAGAAACTATGTTATTCCACCCGTTGGCCCCGTCTACGCAGTTGATGATGGGTCTAACCCTGAAGGATGTTGGGTTGATTGACGTAATATCATCAGTTTATACAAACTTATGAGTTTTAATAAGTAGGTATAAGACGGGACATGTTGCTCTATTGATTTTAAAGTGCGAAATAACCGATGGTTCAAAAATGCGGCATGCGAGAAACTAGAGAATTAATAAATTCAAAGATCATTAGGTTATCAGTTAGCGATAAGGGAGGGGAGTTCGTAGTTATTCCTCGCCAAATGGATGTTGGGATAACAGAGGAACATCTTAGTGATGCTACCCTCTACCGCCCATCCTCTGAAGAGAGTCAGAGAGATAAAAGTCAATACCGAAAACTAAACAATCAATAGGTAAATGTAGCTAAGGCTGCAGGTTTAAAATCACAGGTTATTTCGCAGTTTAAGATCAATAAACAAACATGTACCGTCTTATACCAACTCATTAAAACACATAAGTTGGTATCAGCTGATGATCGTACGTCAACCAATCCATCGTCATTCAAGGTTAGACCCATCATCAGTTGTGCAGACGGATTAACGGATACAATAACCTCGTTTTTAAGCTTAATACTCTCCCAGTTGCTCAAGCATATTCCAGTTCACCTTAAGAACACCCGAATGTTCCTAGAACGTCTACGTAAACGTAACGCGTCTCCTAATAACGCGTACATGATGGAGTCTCTCGATGTTTCTGCGCTCTACACCAACGTATCGAAAGACTCCACAATGCAAGCCATGCTCGAACTTCTTGTTGAACATAAATCAGGAATAAATATGCATGGCTCTCATAAAAGAGTGCCTGAACTACTCGATTTTCAGATGGTCTGGGAAATACTACGTGCAATTGAGAGGGCTACCAATGTAACAGCGACTGGCGCCAACTCTTGCCATTGCATTTATGTCTAAAATAGAAGCCCCCGTTATTGATCTCTGGCCGGTACTCTACTGTAGATATACAAATGACAGTTTTGTCATCTTCTATACTCAGGAGGAGGTGGACAAATGCTTTGAATTGTTGAATGAACAGTCTGAGTACATCAAATTTACCCGTGAGAAGCTAAAAGAAGATTGGCTTCCATTTCTTAACGTCGAGATGAACTTGTCGTATAACGGTTACATGACAAAATGGTACCGAAAACCAAGTAACAAGAACATCGTCGTTCATTCCCTCCCCTCCCACACCCTCAGAGATTTCTTGTGAAAGAAACTTTCTTCTAAAAAAAAACTGTCGTTGTCGTTGTTTTTGATGTTATTGATAGATGCCCGACGTTTCGGCAACTTCGCCTTCCTCAGAGCCGTGATGTTACGTGTGGGAAAAGTTTTACTTACTTGCGATTATTTCCATTACGCAGATATGCCTATCGAAAGGTACGTAGTGTGAGAAATGGCATGCAACGGTAAGTTTTTCTCTGAAAACAGAACTAAGAACTAAAATCGAGAACGACATTTGACAATACATTGCTACCGAATGAATGACGTTACCAACTACTCTCCCTCTACCAACGATTTCTAAAATCGTGCAAAACCAGATGTTTTCTTAAGAAAAAATGGAGTTTCATAGAAAGTTTAACCATAACCGATCAATAACCTGGCTCACATATCTTACATGAGAACGGCATCAGTTCATTAGATTCCTTATTGTAGCCGATGTCTCGTTAACAAAGCCACATTCAGATTCAAAACGATTCTTGTGGTATTAACAATGATTTAAGTTTTATTTACTGTCTAATAATTTTTTATGGCATGATACTATGTGAAGTACAACCACAATGATGCTCAGACACGAGCAAAACTCAAAAGCAGCACCGTTAAGGTAAGAAAACTGCCTAAAAGGGAAAGGCGAAGCAAGGGTATTGATTGGTATAGTGGATAAAACGTTAGCGTCTTAAGAGGACAGTCACGGGTTCGAAAATCAGCCAACGTTCGTGTTTTGCTCATATCTCAGTAATCTTGCGTTAAATTCTTGTAGTATTCCAGTCTGATTCCATTCTAAATGATTCCAACGGTCAACACATATCTGAAAACTCCACGTGCGCTTTTATCACTCGACTCGAGTCATTGCCGCTCTGGAGATGAGGTCGTTGCCGAGACATTGTCTTCATGTGAGCTTATAAATAAATCGAAAGGAATGTTTCCATTCGATTTTTACTTTCTCATCATCTTTTCACAACCATAACTTTTCTATGAAGTGTCAGGCTTAAGCCTCTGATCATTTCACAAATGCATGTTAATACATGTTTTCTTTATATTCAAATCTAAGAAAACCTATGTTCGTGTAATTCTGATATACCAGTTATTCAGCAGTAATGTCTAGTTGATCAATACCGACGACTGTTATAGATCTACAACAACCAAACGACTTATGCAAAATCGTTATCTTCTCACTGGCATTATACTATCGTCTTATAACCTAGTCAATAAGTCCCATTTTTCATTAAAAAAACTGCCGGAAAACAGCTAAATTTCCAAGCTTTGTTTTCTAAAACTAATGATAAAGGGCACAAGTGAATGATGTTTCTCATGTTTGCAGTGTATTCGTGCGTACAACAAAAACTGCAGTTCACCTCACGATTGTTTTCCGAAGAATTGTGTCACGAAAAAAAGCAACCTATATTAGTGAAACCGTTCTAAGCTCTACGTTTTCTATTTAAACTACGCTTAAATGTTGCCGCTTCAGCTCTGTATGCTACAGTATCAACAGGTGGAGGTAGAGAAGCTGGCAAAAGTCATACGGTAGCCTTTTTCTTTGTGAGTCACCCAATACCAAAACCTACTTCTTCCTCATACCAGTCAGATTTTTACGACTGACAGCATAGTCAACTATTCCTATCGTATGGCTGTCAATTACATCAAATTGAATGTCAGAGAATGCACTTGTCGTTTGTTCAACGCCGACGTCATGTCGTAGTTCATCGATGTCGATCCATTGTAAAATACTTTGTTCGACTTCAACTATCACGTCAAATGTCTGTAAAACTTCTTGTTAAATAAAAAGCATCATTTTCAAATAAATGGAAACTAAGGCGAATATATTTTGGACTGTCCAAAAAATAGTATCGAGTTGCTTTTGAGCAGAACCCCACAGTCCCTTCTGCTCACGAATCCAAATGTAGGAACTACAAAAGCGAATTGCAGGATCAGTGTTCTATTTAGTTGGAGAACCGTAGAGGATCTCAGAGCAGCATGTTCTGCCATCACCAACGGCAAAACACTAAGTGAAAACGATCCGAAATGACTGCAAGCTCTTTAGAAGTTGAAAACCGACACTATTTCCTAAACAACAAAGGCTTCACATTCCATTGAAATGACGCAAGCAAAGGAAAAGCTACCTAAAGGTAGATTGATAGAGATTATAGTGAAAGGCTGTCACGTTTGACATTGGGCTGCACTTTATATGCTCATCAATAAAAACCCTCCGGATCACCATTACACTCCCACGTTACTTCTTAGTCCTCCCTCTTTGAAGACTTTACTAACTACTAACTTACTTTCTCCGCTATGTAGAGGGAATCGAGAATTCTCACTAACCAGTCATACTGTCATATTTTAAAAAAGGGTATAACTAGATATCTCACCTGTTTGGTAAAATCGAAATTCGAAATATATTCGACTTTCATTTCGATCGATATCGTAATCGGATGACTCACTGGAAAATATGAATTTAGTGGAGAAATAAAAATGAACACTGCTTCTCTGTCGATGCATAGTAACTGAAAATTTCTATTAATAATATGTATTCTTTCTTGATAAGCTTGCGCGAGGTTAATAAATATATTTATCTATTAGAAATCTATAGAAAAAATATAGCAAAATCTATTAATGATACAACCACAACGATGCTATGATATTTGCAAAACTCCGGATCGCAGGTGGGCCTCAGTGGCGATCGAATATGCTATTATCCTTTCTGGTAGCTAACGCGTTAACCAACATACCAGAAAAAGAAAAATAAAACGAAGGACCCGCATGGTGTGGTGGTGAATGCGTTAGCTTCCAGAAAGGGTAATAGCTTGTTCGATTCCCACAACAGAAACCTGCGGTCCTGAGTTTTGCAAATATCTCGGCTTCTTAACCTTTTTATTTACTACCTATTATAATTTTTAACGGAAGAGTATCATGTGAAATACAGCAAAGATGATGCTGAGACAACTGCAAAACTCCGAACCGCAGGTGTCTGCAGTGGGGAACGGACGCGCTATTGTCCTTTCCGGGAGTAACGCGTTCACCACCACACCATGCGGGTCCTTCATTTTGCCTGCCTTTCAGCTAGTTCTATTAACCAGCGCCGTCACCAATAACGAGTCAACGAGACTGAATTGGACAATAGAGCGTTCGTTACACCTGTGGTCTGGAGTTTTGCAAATATCTCAGCATCATCTTAGTTGTATTTCACCCTGCCGTTAAAAATTATTGTAGGCAGTAAATAAAAAGGTTAAGCTTGTGACTTCGACTTCAGCCTCAGCTTAACTAGGTTCATTGCCGATTTGGGTTCCCTAGATCAGCCCCGTTGATGGGTGATTTCCGATGGCACCGGTCAACAGAACTAGCTGAAAGATAGGTGAAACGAAGGACCCGCATTGTGTTGTGATGAACGCGTTACTCCTCGGAAAGGACAATAGTGCGATCGTTGCCCACCGCAAACACCTACGGTCCGAGTTTTGCAAATATCTCAGCATCACCTTAGTTGTACCTCGGCGTTGTCGTGATTGTGTTTCACAGAATACATTGCTGTGAAAAGTTGTAGTAAGCGGTGAATAAAAAAGCTAGCATTGTTTATTAATAGTGTTTACCATAAAATCCCTTGCCATGATATCGAATTCAAGATATAAAAAATCGATACGCACCTTTTCTGCTTGCTGATGAAGCAATTTGTGTTGAAATGAGGTAGAAAATCATAACAAACATCATTTGTTAGACAGATGAATTCCTACCGTGAAAGAAGAAAACCTGAAATCTATTAGGATGTTATGAAAGCATTTTTCGAATAGTTTCTAAAGCAATGAATAAACCGGCGAACTAATCTTTATCATTGGTAAAAGAGTCCGGCTAAACTAAGCAATATGAACTGCCAGTGGTTTGTCCACTACCTTCGCTTCACATATACAAGCAACAGCAGTTGTTAATGGTACTGTTAACGGATGAATTGAAATACATCAGAGAAAGTGTTATGCTGAGCTAAAATACCACTACAAACACCACCCCGATTTTGATGAGAAATGACAAAGACCAGCAATTTTAGATTCGAATGAAGCTCAACGACTTACCGATACCGAGGAGCAGACCAGTACTGGCAAAAAGCATATTCACAATCGATCTCGATCAGACTGATTGGCTTATCCGAACGTGAAATCTCCGTTCTAAAATGGAAAACTAATGGGAAGAAGGTGAAAGAGAAACAAAGAATATGAGCAATTCTGAGAAAATGTCGTAATGAAAATCGCACTACCGTACTATTATACCATGATGGCTTAGCTAAAAGCAACGTGTGTAGCGAGTTCGTAAAATAACTATAAATAGAATCAGAAGCCTTATTAAACATTTCTGATATTTCACTTCTGTTATAAAATCCTAGGTCCTATGAGAGATTTCTATATTGATGTGTAGGTGTCGATTGGTCCACTAGTCAATGACAGATTCAAAGACAAAAAAGGTTGGAATATTCGAGAAAAAATGAAAGCACTCGATTCAGATAAACTCCAAGGAAACATTAAGGCAAAAGGCAACAGAACAGAGAGCATCGATCGTCAATTCGGTGACGATATCTGGTTTTTTTTAACATTCAATGCAAAACAGTTGTTTTTTATCTTCAAGCCCTCTATCGTTTTGATACCCGTCTATGACAGCGTTTCCCTTACACGAAGTGGATCCATTAAGTGTTGTCACTCAAACTGGTAGGATTTTAAACTCTTTCTCATTCTCGGTCCTCTCTCTTCTATCATATGTGCGGCCGTTAACAATTGTTCTATGGAAATAAACAAACCCTAGGACGAGAAGCTGAGGTCAAGTCGAGTTCAGTGCCCTTCGAATTCCTTCTTCTATATCATGTTACATTAAAATTCAAGAATCCGATTACAATATATTAACATTCTTGCGATGAAAATATCAGTTCTATTTTCTTACAATTTTATTTAAAGGACAAAAATGCTTCTATAAAAACGTTTGAGATCTTATTCCAGTAAAGGGTAGCAGGATGAAAAAGTAGAAAATACATAACGCTTGCGGCGGTTCTGTACCTTTTGTACGGACAAAGTAAGACAGACCATTGCTAATAAGGAGGTTGCCTTTGATGTCAGCCAATACCGTGATATTTTCCGATAGCACAACGATCAATAAGCACTGAATTGATTGCAACTTGTAATCAGAGAGAAATGGAGAATATTCCAACCGTGATTGTTAACGAAGAATAGGAGTGATTGCAAATGTTCTAATAATAGGAATAATTCGTAATGAAGGCATTAGAAGAACTGAAGAGCTCATTCACACAAAAAGAATAGGCGAACTCGAGAAGAAAATGATTCCAAAGCAATAAACTTTTGTTGGATTGTTCGACTTAAAAAAAAGAATCCTCATCTATCGCTCCTAAAACATTTACCTTTCCAAACTCAATCCCAGCAATCTAAGCTAACACAAATCAAGCATGCAGTCGACGAAACTACAAAGATGAACGCAAAGCTGAGAGTGATAAACTTGAAACATTTTGCAAAAACAACACCGATAGATTTTAACAGGTAGTAATGCTTAGAGTATAAACTCGGAAAGAAAAATGTCTCGAAGAAAGTTGACGGTTCTTGTGATGAGCGTCATATTGCGGACGACGGCAGAATACCTGAAGAACTTCAACAGACACAGGTGGTGACATCCCAGGTTGCAATATCTGTAAAATCAAATCCAACTGGCTGAATGCTTTGTACAGATCGTTTTTTGTGTTGAATGAGTTCCAAATAATTTCATTGATTGGGAAGTACACAAAATATGATATAATTAAATGAAGAACACCTTTTCTTGCTAAAGCTATTGAATACGGATCATGACAATCACTACGTGTGTCCTTGATGTTAAGCACCCGTAAGCGTGCTTATACAATAGAAAAACAAAGATAGTTTTCCAATGACTTTACAACTACAATGATTATTTAAAGTCATTCGAAATGTAAAACTACCCACTAATAGCACACCTCAAACAGTCATTAAGACCTCCCTAGTGGTTGTTGTCGGAATTTTTAACAAACCAAAAAAAAGTCGGGTCCGCTTAAAGAAAAGCATTGTTACGATATTTAACTACTATACAATAATACTATAATCAATACTATATATAGCTAGAAAGAGAGCAAAATCAGCTTTCTAACGACATACAATCTTGCAAGGTACAAAGAATATTTTAGTGGTAAAAGTACATTGGAACAATAAATATTTTAACACGCTCGTTTATTTCTGAACAACCTAATGCCACCATAACTGTTCTGAAACAGTTACACACCAATTCAGAAAAGAAGCTTTTGTTTGTCAAATTTTTTGAAATTTCTTTTCACGTTACCCGTTATAACACCTATTGTATGGATTCTAGCACTTCTTGAGTTCGATCTGTTTTCCTCGCATTCATCGTCCACAGTAATCTTCGGGCACTTCGCGTGTTGTTCTGCTGCTCCTTGAGGATTTTGTCTTCTTCATGAATGCCGTTCAATACTGGAGTTAATTCTCCTTATACTTTTGGATAAAGCCGACCTAACGCGTTTCTACGTGGATTTGGATGGCGCTGAGGAGGAGATCGAACCAGGACTTCGCTTTTCGAACGACTGCACCACTAGCAATTGCGCCACCTCGAGTCCAAGTATTAAGGACGTACAACTGCGGGCCACTGACTCGAGTTAGTCCGGCTCTGAAGAAGAGGACGGCAAAAAAGCAGCGAAATTATACTTCTTACAACAATTCCATGTTGGTTTAATAATACAAGAAAATAACAAGCAATAGCCAGGTTTGGCATTTTTAGTAAGAACATCACCTGTCATCTCTCACTTGCCGTCCCATTAACCTTCGAGTGGCTCAAGCGGGCACCAGTAAATCATTCATTTATCCCTGTCGTGTGCAGGAGTAGCACAATGGGTTCTACTCATTCTAGGAATTCGTTGAGCGTAATACCTTTCTAGTGGGCTATCCGTGAAGAACTCTGACCATCGGATCGGCTATCTCCCAACGGTATGCTTGGTATTTCAAGGAGTCCAGTCACTGACGGCTCTTGTCCATCAGTTGTCGTTCACACGCATTACGTGTCCCACCTACATTATCACCGATGTATCGATTTCAACGTTAGGGTCCTACTGCTTAAAGAACGCTCTAGGAAAAGCAGACGATGTTAATCTTGCCATCTCTTGATTTTCATCTTCACTCGACATTTCCTTTTCGGCCTGATAGCGTAGTCGATCTTGAAGCTTATTAAAACCGCATACGATCCTACGCACTATGTAATACTAGGGGAGTATTAATGCAAAAATAACCTTGCAACAAAAGCTCGAGAATCTTTTGAGTAATTCGCGTATCTCAGCTTCAAGAAACCAAGAGCGAATTATTCACGCTTATAGTACCTATATCACCTGTATCACCTGTAGTCCCACTTGTCGTCGAGTGACTCGAGCGGGAACCAGTAAATCTT